AAATCTGAAAAAATAACTTTTTTGAGGGACTATTTTGCCTCACAACAGCCTACATGTATCCCTCCACCATGAATGGATTTTAAACTAAGGTTTTAGGTCACAACCTTTCCCAAAACTATCATAAAACAACGTCTCAGTCATCAGGCAGTGAATTCATAACCATTCTATGGCATTTTACTTTTCTGTCAGGGAGCTTTTAGAGGTGGACGTCTGGTTCCTATCACCATCACTGTGAACATTCTGACTCTGTAAGTTTCTCTAGAACGGACCAGTCTGAATGACTCTGTTTACAGCTTAACCATTTATTTATGCAGAAATTCTGAAAAAATCTGTGGAAATCCCCTTTCAGCTACTGTACCTGTATGTCACATACACAAAAACACAAATTTGTACTAGATTCCATTGATTCAGTTTTCCTTTTCATTTACTTACTTTTAGCAAAGCAAAGTTGATGAAATATATTTCTATAATTATTTCTGACAAATTTATTACATCCATCCTTTTGCTGTTCAATGATACTATAATTATTATTATTATTATTATTACTACTACTGTTTGCCACGTATTATAGATTAATAATATATATATATATATATATATATATATATATATATATATATATATATATATTTACTACCATGATACTGGTTGGTTAGCATTGCACAGGCTGTGCAAATTGTAATACAGTGGCAAATAATAATAATCATAATAAATAATAATAATTGTAAATGTCATATATTAAGCATATAGTGTATATTCACTCTTCTTTTTTTTTGCATATTTGACCAGGATTTCTTTGGATGATAACCTGATTTCTTTCTTTAAAGAAAAGCAATAGCAACACAGCCTGCTAACCAGCATTTCTCTTTTCAGACAGAACTGCTTGTATGCTGATCTGAAAGGCAAATCAAATCCCCCATATGACTGGAAAAGACCTGCAGGTTTAGCTGACAGGAGTTTCGGTGCACCGTTCTACTGTGCAGTGATGTTACACAAACTCGATCTGCAGGAAAGAGGCATCAGGAGGAAACCTTACCTGCGACCTCGTCACAAAGTCTATGTCTGAAGTGTGCAAGACACTGTCTAGATCAGTCATAGGCATTTTGGAATCTAGTGCAGTGGACTGATGGAAAAGTAGAGTAGAAATGGAGCTCTTTGGCCGCCATCAACAAAGCTGTGTTTAGAGAAAAGAAGGAGCAGCATATGATGAAAAGAACACCGTGTCAACGGTTACGCCTGGGTGGGGCTATAATGTTTTAAGGTTGTGTTGCAGCCAGTGGCTCAGGAAACACTGCATGAGTAGATGAAAGAACAGATTCCACTAAATATCAGCAAATTCTGGAAGCAGATGTGACACAGTAGGTCAAGAAACTGATGCTGAAAAGATGGTGGCTTCTACAAAAGGACAATATCTTAAAACTCGGCATGAAAATCCTTACAGCTCCCTGACTCCAACATCACGGACAATCTGCGGAGAGACCCGAAACCTGCTGTGCACGCAAGACGGCCTTTATTAGAAGCATTCTGCAAGGAAGCGTGGATAAATAGTCCTAACACAAGAACAGAAAGACTCCTACCTGGCTTCAAAAGGAGTTTATGAGCTGTGAGACCTACCAAACGGGGCATTACTATGTACTGACTTTGTGTCCCGTCTTATTTCCTAAATTCTTTTTACTTCACAAAAATAAAAAATAAACAAAACTCACTGGAGTCCACAAACCTGAGGCCTGTGGGATTTTTCATTTAAACCTGGAAATAAACAACAGAAGTTTTTACAATCTTGAAAAATGTAAAAATACAGGGCCCTGCTGGTGCATCCTGTATAAAAATAAAGCAATAAAAATAATGTGTGGCCATGACTTAGTAAGGCGTGGGAACAAGATAATTAAGTCATCTTAAAAATACTAATAATGTGTGAAAAAATAATAAATACATAAAAGATCATGTGTGGCAATGTCTTATTACCATGTGGGAACAAGATCCTAATATGTGGCCATGACTTAGTAAGGCATGGGAACGAGATAATTAAATCGTAGCCACGCATTAGGATCTCATTCCCAAGCTTTCTAAGTTGTGGCCATGACTTAATAAATAATAATAATGCATGAAAAAATAATAAATAAATAAATAATAATGCGTGGCCACGACTTAGTAAGGCATGATCTCGTTCTCACGCGAAGTTGTGGCCATTATCTCATTACCATGCCTTACTAAGTTGTGGCCACGCATTAGGATCTCGTTCCCATGCGTTAATAAGGTGTGGCCACACATTATTTTTATTTATACAGGATGTCACCAGCAGGGCTCCGTATGAAACAAAGAAAGCTGTGAAAAGTAAAATGAAGAAGAAATGTTCAAAATTCTGCACTATTTCTGGGTCACTATTCAAACTGAAGCAGATGTGTGAAGTTGACCGTGTTGAGGTCTTTGCACAAAAAGGTCAGGTTGTTTTTAATCTGATCTCTAGTGGAGCTCACGTTCAGACGACTCTTGGGTGGAATGGATCCACTGATCAGAGGCTTTTGCACAAACTTATGGAGCCCATCCAGCTTCAGCGCACACCATCACTGAAAGTAAAAGGGGGGCACTTCACCAAAAACTGAGAAATTCTGAAATTCAAAGATTCTACTTTTTACTCAAACTGTCAAGTTTATCATCTCTAATGAAAAACTTTGCATTAACTCACTAACAAACCATTCTATGCACACTTCTATAACGTAAGAATAGCTCCATTAGTTTGCACTGAAGTCCCTATAGCTACAGAATAATAAGCCTTTGAATGAAATAAACCTGGAATGTTAAGAGGTTTCATTGGAATGGGATGCAAAACAGAAGCATTTTCATTAGAGCTCTCACACTTTTGAATCGCACTGCATGTAATTTGGCCACAAACTTTTGCACACAACTGTAATGTGATTAGAAGAATTTAAACCGTAATGCGCTACATTACTTTGTTATGGGAAAAAGTAACATCACTGTAATGTGTTCCTGTGCACTGCATTACCTTCAGCACTGGTGCTGTCTGACGGATGTGAGTGTCCTCTCTCTCTCAGTGAAGGGCAGGGAGTCTCTGAGGGACTGAACATGAGAGCGCTTTAAAGGCGGGACACTTAGACACACACACACACACACACACACACTCACACACACTCTGCTCAGTTCGCTCTCAGCTCACACTGCACCGGACACCACACGCTCGCTCACTCAGAGCCGTAGAAAATGGGAAAATTCATCGCATAACGACTCAAAACTCTCCATCTCCACTCCATGATTTAGCGCAAGGTAAGACTTTTTCACGTTTCAGATTAAAGAGATGTTGTAATGCTGTAAAAGCTTTTAGCTTTTCTGTAGGCACGGCAGTGCAGTTGCAGTCTAAATGAAGCAATATATGCGTCGACTTTGAAAAGCATTGAATTTATTACACGTGCTAATGAATAAAAGTTTAAATAACCAACATTTTAATCATTAATCATTTAACACGCTTAACGTTCTAGCTCTCATTCTGTTTAATCTGCTGTGATCTTATATGAGGTTCTTTCTAAAACTGCTTCAGTCAGGACCTGAGCGAACATTCAGAGATTTGATGCTGTTGAGTTTACTGTTTATTTGTTTACAGTACTTCCTGTTGTTGGTAAATAATATTTCTCAGATTGGGAATTTATTCAGCCGTTGACTGGAGTTCAGCTCTGCAAGAGTGAGAGTGTTTAAATCTACACAGTGGCACAGACAAATAGTCATTAATGCTATCATATCATCATTAAGTACAGTCAATGTCATAATTATCGCAATATCACTATTATACCACACTGGAAAAGTGAAATATTGAATTTTCTTGATACAGCATAATTTGCAAATTTATCATTTTCAAATATGTAAATGAAATTAGTGCCACGAAACTGATAAAAATGTATGATAAAACATGTATTTTATCCATGTAGAAGTGATGTTCATGTTTAAAGTCAAATTCAATGCTTTTTCAATGGTGGCGTACAGTTTTACTGTTATTACACTACCATCCCGAAGTTTGGAATCACTTGTCATATTAATAATTTGTATTGTTTTATTCAGTAATAACTTACATGGTGTAGATTGAAACTATAAGCAAGAGATCAAGAAATATTTTAGAAAGTTTATTTAATAATAAACATTTTTGGGGGGAACACAAAGAAGTCTTTTTTTTAATGATGAATAATATACTGTAAATGTTTATTTGTAGTCATTACCTGATATGATATGATATGATATGATATGATATGATATGATATGATATGATATGTGCCTCAAAATTTCATCACTTTTTTCAGATATGAGGGATTCTGGATGTTAATTATAAATTATTAAACTTCCCTTCAGGCTATCAATGTTATTAGAACTTTATTCTAAATATTAGGTTTGTTAAATTGTCAGTCTAGATATTAATATCATATACTATTAATATCATAATATTTCTGGGTCTTCATTTTATTAGAACTTCATTCTGTATATTAATCTTATAAGAACTTCATTCTGAATATTAATCTTATTACAACCTCACAATGGGTGTTAATATTATTAGAACTTAATTCTGATTATTGATCTTTTTATAACTTTATTCTGAATATTAGGTTTGTTAAATTGTCATTCTGGATATTAATATCATAACCTATCCATTTTGGATTTTAATTGAGTTAGAACTTTATTCTGGGTGTTAATTTTACTGGAACTTCATTCTGAATATTAATCTTATTAGAACCTCATAATGGGTGTTAAATTTATTATAACTTCATACTTTAATAATGTATCTTCAACAAACTGGCTTCAAGTGCTTCCAAACTTTCCAACAGTTAATGTAGTTAAAACTGCAGCTTCACGGTTTCTTTTGCATTCTTTATGTTTACAAATGTTATAGTTTTGATTGTAAACCATAAATAATGTAGTATCTATTTACTTTCATACATTAGAACTTTGCACTGTTTCTTCACGTCCAGCTAATTTCTTCTCTAATTCCACTCAGCAGCCTCAGTGGACCTGCAGTGATGTCGGAGAAGAAGTTGGACACTCGTCCCAAAACCCTGCGCAGCTGGAGCGTGGACAGCTACATCCGCAGTGTTAAGAAGCGCTCCCGCTCCGCCCGTGAGGCGTCTGTGAGAGCGGAGGAGGGCGAGGGTTTGGAGGACCACCAGAGCGTCCGCTCGGCCTCGTGCCCCCGCCGGCGGCGGGACAGAAAGTGCAGCTGTTCGGCTTTAGGAGACGCGGAAGTGGACGGCAGCAGAAAGGCCTTATCTCGTAGATCTTTGAGACAGAAGTTCCAGGATGCGGTTGGACAGTGCCTTCCGATACGCAGCCACCATCACCACTACCATCATCATCACCATCACCACCAGTCTGGCTCCTCAAGGCCATTCTCAGTGCTGCTCTGGTCCAAGCGGAAGATCCACGTCTCGGAGCTTTTAGAAGATAAGTGCCCTTTTTCGCCCAAATCTGAGCTCGCCCAGTGCTGGCATCTGATCAAGAAGCATCAAAGCAATGCATCATTAGCCATAGAGGCCGCTCCTCCAGCTTTTATCTCCTGGGAGGAGGTCAGTTCCTCCGGAGCTTCCAGCCTGGACGACTGGGACCCGTCTTTTACTAATGGTACGCCCCAATGCTGCGCCCACACCGACTACATCCTGGTGCCTGACCTGCTCCAGATCAACAACAGCCCGTGCTACTGGGGCGTGCTGGACCGCTTCGAGGCCGAGCAGCTTCTCGAAGGTCAGCCTGAGGGGACATTCCTGCTGAGGGACTCCGCCCAGGATGAGTATCTGTTCTCGGTCAGCTTCAGGCGCTACAGCCGCTCCCTGCATGCCCGAATAGAGCAGAGTGGAAAGCGCTTCAGCTTTGACGGCCGGGACCCCTGCATGTACAGGGACGCCAGCGTGACGGGGCTGCTGAAGCACTACAGCGACCCGGCCGCATGCCTCTTCTTCGAGCCCCTCCTGTCCCGCCCGCTGCCCAGGAACTTCCCCTTTTCACTGCAGCACTTGTGTCGCGCCCTAATCTGCAGTTGTACCACCTACCAGGGTATAAATGCTCTACCGCTGCCTCAGGCACTCAGGGACTATCTCAGACAGTACCACTTCAGATGCGACGGGGCTTGTGCCGTGTGACAGAGTACCAAACTGACCAGAGCGGGGCGCGACCTTAAACGATTTGGGTTTTTTTTATTTTTTAAGCACAGTCACATGCAAAAGTTTGACCACAGTGTTTTGTTGACTTTAAAAGTGAAATTAAGTTTTGGCAAATTTAACAACTGCACAGTTTCTATTTATTTGCTGAGTTTAATATATTGAAAGAAAAAAACATTAAATATAAATTGGGCCATAACTTTTGCACAGGCCACATTTTCTGTTCTAATTTGTTCCCATTATGCAAATTTCAGCAAATGAATGTAATTTTGCTTTAAACTGTGCAGATGTGTGTTCTCTGTTGAGGACGTTCTACAAAAAATGCGATTTAACCAGGGGAACCCAAACTTTTGCATGCTTTTGTTGATTTTCTAAGTGAAAATAAGTATGTAAACAGTATATAACATGGCGTTTTCTGCAAATTTCAGAGCACAATTCATATTTATTTGCAAAGTTTCACATATTGGAAGAAAAATTAGCTTTTGCACAGGCCACATTTTATGTTTTTTTTTTTTCCTATATGTTAAATTCAGTGAATAAAAAAAAATTGTGCATTAAAATGTGCAGAAGTGTGTCTCTGTAGAGGATGTGTTAATTTAGTTAGACCTAGAAAATCAACAAAATACGTCATTTGAGTGGGGTGCCTAAACTTTTGCACACGACTGTACCTTTTTTATATACAAGCAACCTACACAAATCCCTACGGAGCCCTGCTGGTGACATCCAGTATGAATAAAAATAATGCATGGCCACACCGTATTAATGCGTGGAAACACGTAATTTGTGGTCATAACTTGGTAAGGCTTGGGAATGAGATGATGCCTTATTAAGCTGTGGTCAAGGCTTACCTCATTCCCACGCCAACCATAGGCTGGGGAGGGGTGAGTTGTAACAGCCGAAGTCGGATAAATTTATAAGAACGCAGTTATTTCAGTCTAATTCTGTCATTTAAACCAGATAGGCAACCTAGACATATTGATCAACATAAATATGACGAGTGAAAAGAGGCTGCTGAATTTATTTTTAACCAAAAAGTAGAACAGCAAATATCAGCGTGATAAAACTTAATACATTTTATGTACATGAGTACGTTTTTCATTAATCTGTACATAAAAGAATCCAAAAGATGAGCTGTGTTGAGTGTGTATGGGGGATATGGAGGTCTCTGATTGTTTACTGTGGTAGGCTGAGTTACAGCGTGTTAAACTAACCCCCTCATGTGGAGGCTGTACTTTAGTCTGGCTAGCTCTCACTGTTGGCTGTTTACATGCAGTGCTATATTACAGCCACCAAAAGGGAGATTTAAAGAATGTAGCATTGAATGCTGTGATTTATATAGTCAAAAACAATAATGTAAAAATATCCATGTTATATTTTCCCTGAGTTAGCTTGTGCCCTGCTCTGCCCTGTATAACTGAGTTGTACATTATTAGGTGGTCTGTATGGAGTATTCTGAGCCACCTTAAAGAAATGCCTAGCCTAATATTCACAACTTTGTCCCCACTTATCCCAAATACAGCCGATTAGCCAAGACTACCAAGCTAGCAGAGGTTTGTAGTATAAGCTCTAATTACTCAGTTTCCTATTCTTAACCCTCTATTGCACAATGTTGCCTCAGGGCAACAATTCATTTTCCTCACTTTACAATAACATCATTCATATTTAAAGGCAATGATAAGGTTAACAAAAAAGGAAGAGTTTGAGGAAGTCAATAAAAAAGCATGTACTTAGACATACTCTCTTTTTTATCTCATACTAGCACTTTTAAACCTCTTTTTTAACATTCACTATAATTTTTTTGTTATGAGAATTTGCAGAAATGTGTTTGTTGCCTGGAAGCAACATTGTGCGACAGTGGAAAGGATTTAGCCAGTCACAAGCCAGGTCTCACCACTTCAGAGAATACGGCTCTATGTTATTTCTTTTCATTGTTGCACAATGTTGCCTCAAGGCAACAAACTCCAAAAGGACCCCTGCACATATTTTTTATGCTTTTTTAATTTAATAATCAGGTCCACTTTATGCAAGAAAAGTGAATCGAATATTTTTTAAAAACTGCTCTCCTAATGCAGCAGGGGGTTAGGTAAAATCTTAATGGATTTGTACTTTCTGAAGTATTCTCAAAAGATACTTTTACTTCTATTTAAGCCAAACAGTGAGAAAGGGATTCATTGTCTTTGTTCTATTTTAGTCATTAAAAGAGAATTCCACCAAACTTTCAAAATTTCTGCACAATTCAGTCATTCATACTGTTTACCAACTTAACAGTGGTGGTGATAGGAACCAGGGGTCGCCATGACTACAACATTAATATAGACATTTTATTTACTATCCAAAACCACCAGTGAGCCTACACGAGTCTTCTGAGCTTTATATGGAATATTGAAGATAAAATAGTGATAAATCTAAAAAATGCATTTTTAGGGGCCTATTTTGCCTCACAGCGTCCTGCATGTACGTGGATTTTTAAAAATACATTTAGGGCCACAATCTCAGCTCAAAACTATCATAAAACAGTGTCTTAGACATCAGACAGTGAATTCATAACCACTTCATGTAGTAACTTTCTGTGAGGGAGCTTTTAGAGGTGGACGTCTGGTTCCTATCACCACCACTGTGAACAATTCTGATTCAGTAAGTTTCTGTAGAACGGAGCGTTTCACACCAAACCACTCTGAATGACTCTGTTTACATCGTAATGATTGAAAAATCAGTGGGATTCCCTTTGAAAAGTTAGTCCCTAGTTCTCTTTTTTTTGGGTTTGATTTCATTCTGTTGTGCTGGTTCAGCTCCTGTTCTGCTTGTACGGTCGATCACTCCCGCCACTTTGGAGCTTTAGCACTTTCTTTTAGTTCAAAAGATCCAAAAAGAGAAGAATAGAGCCTCTTCAGTTCTTATACTGATAGATGCTGGGTGGATTGAGCAGTTCAGTGCTATAAGTTACTCAGTACTTAAGTATATTTTGAGCTGCTACTTTTGTACCTCTACTCATGCTGTTTTATGGAAAGTACTTCACTTTTCCCGCAGTCATTATTTCTCTGAAGTAACAATACTTTTACTTCAGTATACGTAAAGCCGTTCTACTCAGCTCTGAAAGCTAGCACTGTGCTACCTGCATGCTTAAATCATCACACACTCACCTCAAACTGTGTGGAGGTGCTCAGTATCTCTAGAAGACTTATTTATGTGGTTTCTGATACACTGTTATCTACAAACATGGACTAAAGTACATTAGTATGGCTAAAAAACAGTAGTAGAAGCCTGTACTTTAGTCATGTTTATAGATAACAGTGTGTCATACATTCTCAGAAATAAAGGTGCTGAACTGTCACTGGGGTGGGACCCTCAAGGGTACATCTCAGTACCTTTAGTCAGGGAACATAACTGAACCGTAATCCACTGAAATGATATGTTCTAAGCTGTACTGACTCCACACACCCCGTCTCGTCTCCAGGACTTTATTTTACTGTTCTGTTTTAAAACATTTGGTTATGAAAAGGTACAAATACAAACTTTTCACCTGGAAAAACTTATTTAAGGTTCACAATCAGACCTTAAAACCACTGTTGTACCTTTGAGGGAACATTTACACTGTTTGTACCTTGATGAACGAAAAATGAACCTGAACAGAACCTTTATTTCTAACAGTGTACAGTGTCAGAAACCACATAATCAAGACTATTAGAGATACTGAACAACTCCACAGTTTGAGGCGAACGTGTGATGGTTTAGGCCTGCAGTTCTTGCTAATAGGTGGAGTAGAAGCTTCCATTTCTTGGGTCATTCTACCATTGTGATGGTCAACAGGGTACAGATGTTGACGTAATTCAAGTGTAAAACATAGCGTGACCACAAGACCACTGGCATTACTGGAATCTGAGCTTTTCAAACACAGCCACTTCAGTTTCAGTCTCACACTGAGTATAAAACAAGTCAATATTGCATTCACGTTGTTATTTTATTTCAATTTTTCCATCACCGACGCAATCTTTTTGTCAATATTTTAGAAAAATCAGGCATGTCAAAAGAGATTTCACTAACTGTGGACTTCTCAGAGTCTTTCTTCCATCCACCACTCACAAAAATATCTTGGCAGGAGATTTAATATCAAAATAAAACAAAATTTACAATCATATGGAAAGTTTGGGCACCCTGGTCAAATTAGGTTTTGTTGATTTTCACAGTGAAAATAAGTCAACACATCCTCTACAGCTTAAAAAATTCCATTTTGCTGCAAATTTTAGGGCATAATTTCCATTAATTTGAGTTTCAACCAGAGACATTATAAAGAGGTTTAGTTTAACATATTGGAAAGAAAATAAGACATAAAATATAAAATGTGCCAGAACATTTGCACAATTCACATTTTATGTTTTATTTTTTTCCCCAATATGTGAATTCAGAAAATATGCAGTAGCAGTGCTTTAAAATGTGCAGAAATGTGTTAATAATTTGACCAAGGGTACCCGAACCTTTACATTCATGTGTTTAAAAAAGATGCAAAGCACAAAGAATAATTTTAATCCATTATTATAATTTAAACTGAAATGAAGCACCAAAGATTTACATAAAAGTAGCACTTCAGCATTTGTGAAAGCAAGCATTTTCATGTAAACATCATGGAAATATCATTAAAGTAAAATTTATCTTTTTTTTTTTTTAGAATTTAGAAATAAAACAAAGAATTCACAGACATCAACTGTGATTTCTTGTTTTGAGCTCATTTTTTAGGCTTTAGAGTTTTCCACCGCAGTGTTAGAATGACCATTTGTTAGCTACATTAGCCTCATAGCTCTAGTGCTAGAGCGCTGAATAAAAGAAGCAAACTTCAGAGTCCAAACATGTCTTGGCTGACGGGCTTCATTTGTTAAAAATGAGAAATTATGTCAATTAGACTTTTAACCAAACCAAAAAGACATAAATGCACGGTTTTATGGTTCACAGCTGACCTTTCATACTGCCTGAACACCTACTGTTTCCAC